TTTTTTTTTTTTTTTTTTTTTTTTTTTGATGTGAAGGAGAGAGAGCATTTTTTTTTTTTTATTGTAGGTATCCTTCTGCTGACCACTATGCTCATGCGATGATACTTACACAGCTTGGCCTCGATGAAGCCTTAATACTTGAGCTTCTCTGTACATCAAGTTCAGAGGTTCCTGTGAAGGTTCGTTAGTTGTTTTCCAAAAGCTAAAAATTCGTCGACAGATTCGTAAAAGGATGTCCCTTATGCTTTAGTTACTTGCAGGCAAACCAACTACTAAGGGATAACATGCCAGCTGGTCATGATATGAACTCTTTAGCTAGTTATTTACAAACGAGTCGGCAGTCATACACTATGCAAGGTCTTAGGCTACGTGTCGAGCAGGACTCTGGTAGGGAAAGAATTTGTTTTCTCTATTTATTCAACTGTTCGACATTGTAGCAAAATCTTTTCACTATCAACTTAAATTTTGCTCTTGCAGTTTTTCCTTGTGCTACTTTTTTAGCATTTGAAAAAGCGTTAATGGGCACCAAAGATGCTCTTTTAATTGTCTGCGACCCAAGAGACAGTGAGTTGGGAATCGGAATGGACGAAAGTACATTCCTTGAGTGGATGACTAAAGAAAAAGCTGATGCTGAGATGTTAGGTTACTGGATGCGGAATGAAAGAACTCGTCCTCCTGCTTTAGGTCATAATCAGCTAGGCTATTTCCTTATGTGGTTAAGGTAGGGAAAAACATCTTTCTGATGATCCAAAGGAAATTTTTAGCCAGTTAATCGTATTTTTCTTTTCCTTCAAAAGTTTTTTTATCTTGAGCTTTCTACTGATATATGATTTCCCTAGGTATGAGGTGGCGGAAAAAAAACGCGCTTTTTTACTTAGCACACAACCTGTTGAAGTTGATGGAATCTCCACGGACCAGAGCGGTGACCCTGTCCGTATAACGACTTCCGAGCTTGTTTTGTCGTTACAAGTAATCTTATATACGTGTCAAATCTCTTATTTTGTTTGTGTCGTCTTTTTGTAGCATTTCTTTTTTGAACTTTTATATTCTTTTAGGGCATTTTCCGACCCTTAAGTAACTATTATGCATTGCCTTTTGACATGAAAGGAGAACGTTACCGCTCGGTAGAACATTATGCTTATCAGAGGTTATTTGATGCATTGAGGCTGGACGATAAGTGCATTGGTGAGGTTTATTCATAAGGGATTTTTAAACTTTGCTTTGAGCAAATTGTAAGGACAGAAAGTAAAAATACCACTGTTTTAGAGAAATTACGCACAACTGTTAATCCAGCAGATGTAGCTACAGTGGCCGCTCGGGTCTTCAAGCAGCAAAAGGCATTTTTTTTTTTTTTTATTGTGTTCGGCATATCTTCTTTAGTGAAGTATTTTGAAACTTTATTATGATTTGTAGTTCAATTTGAAATTTATTAATTTAGTTGGGTGATAGTGTCGTCGAAAGTAAAATGGGACGTTTGGATCGTTGGAGACAGTCAGCGATGAAACATAAAGTAAAAATTCGTTCTTTATAAGTTATTGAGATCAGTCTTTAGTAGAATGTATGTTTTGGAAATAAAAATATATTGAATTGGAAGGTATATTTTTTTTCTGATGAATTTTTCTTTCTTATTTTTAATTCATTGCAGATGACTAGGAATGAGGGTCTTCAACAGTTGTTGCTTTCTACTGGTCACGCACTTTTAGTTGATACAGTGGATGGTGATCCGTCATGGACTTGTGGAGTTGATGAGTTTGAACTGCAGCATCTTCTCACAAAACAATACATCAATGCTAAAACTATAGTTGACTGGATAACTGAACGTGTAAAACCTCCCACAACGGTTGCTTATAT